GCAAAAAGCAAAGAATTTGTCTAGTTCTTGTAGAGTAATATTGCCCTGAGGGTCTCAGCAAATACCAATAGTATCCAGTATTTTTGTTGATCACATAACCAAGAAAAGTTAATTAACTTGTAACATGTATTTACACTATTTCGTTTAAGGTGATGTAAGAAATGGTAGTTGAATTCTTCTACAATCATGTGAGTAAACCTTACTTTGCCATTGAATTTCGCATAGCACTACTTTACCAAAAGGTATTCTCATTCTTGAAATTCACATCTGCCCTGTGACCCGATAGCACTGGTGGCGGTTAATGTGTCAAGTTCACATGCCGCACTTTCGTGGTTCGACTCCCGCTGGTGGGCTTGATAGGACCTAGGTGAGGTCGAAACTGCGGTCCACACTGAATGAGAACCCCTGTGGGGAAAGCAAAGCTATGCGAAACTCAATGAAAACGTCAGCTTTACTTAAAGAATTGTTGAAAAAGTTTACCACCAGTCTTTCATCATCTTAAACTCATCCAGACTTGAGTGGAATGCAGTTTCGACTTCGCATGAGCTTGCCACGTTGTCATGAGTGCCCATTGGATCACCGGGCAGATGCAAATCTCAAGAAAGATCAGGCACTCTTTCATACCACATTCTGTGGTGGGATTGTGGGCACTGCATTTTCATGGTTCGAGTCTTGCTGGCGGTGGTGATGAGTCCAGTTGAGAAGAGGTCGAAACTGCGGTCCACTTCAGCCTGGATAAGAATACCATCTGGCAACTAAGGTTATGTGAAATTCAATGGAACGTAAGGCCAACTCATAATATTTTGGGAAAATTCAAGTACCAGTCCCTTTATCACCTTAAACAAATCAAGGTGAATACATGTTATCTACTGTTAGTCTGTAAAGCCTGGTTATAAAATGAAAAGTCTAATTAAATTTTCTTTAAATTAATTAAAAATTAATAGCAAACTGAAAATAACCAGCAGCGTTCCTGATCTGAGTTTTGTGATACAAAATTAGAGGTTTTTCCCACTTTCTCTCCATTAAGGCCTACTTTTATTGCAATTCGCTCAAGTTGACTTCATAATTCTGTAGGTAAAATTGCTCGCTTGCCTTAATGACACTTAGACGGATTAATCCACTGGAAGGTTGCCAGTTAACATTGCAATCACGAACTGCATCCCCAACGGTGTTAGCGTCGCCGTCGCTGACCGGAGGCAACTCGAAGACTGACGAACCGACCCTCAAATCGGCAGAACTTGATGTTGGTGAGACAGCTTTATTTTTTCTCTCAAACATCGCTTTGGTACAGCTTTCTGTTTCTCCCTGACAAGTCCCATTCTGGCCTCTATTTCCAGCTTCCTCCTTTTCTCCCATGCCGTGCTTACAGCCTGGTCTCGTTCCAACTGACCCATCTGCCTGTGACTCTGGATCCTTCTCTGCAGCCATGTTGCTCGTCGTCTCGATGGCCCTGGCATGTCTGTCCGTCGCGGACGAATGCAACCTGTCGCAAGGACCGTAGTGCAGAGCCAATTGACTGATTGCTATGTCGGAATGGGGACCGTAAATTACAACTGGCCGAGGAAAAGGAAAGACTGCCAGACGAACCACGCGCTTGTAGGCCAGAAGATCTGAAGGCAAAAACGGTTTGGCAGAAGGATCCTGAAGTAGCAGAAAATAGACATTAGAAGACTTTCAAATTTATCGGCATATTTGATAAATAAATTGATAAAAAAATTGTAAAAAATAAGTGATAAAGGTACCGCTATCTGTTAATCAGTGAAATAGCTTATCCATGGACTCGGAGTCTCTATAATATACCACATACAAATGTATCGCCCACACACAAAGTAGAAATTCCCTGCACGATTAACTCTATATTTTGATTATATCTGAATACTGTAGGATGTCAATTTGGTGTAATCTTTATAATACTTGTATTTTACAGAAAGGTATAGATTACAAAAGGATTATGACTAATCGTAAATCCTTTTTTGTACTCATCGTTGACATAGCATTATTAAAATCCGTGGCAAGCTTCGCTGAAATTTAGTCACTCCTAAAACAATTTATTATATTATGTTTATAAACGGTAACGTGCATTTTATTCGAAGTTCATACATCTTTTATCAGCAATAAGTTGTTAATAAGTTCAGTGCGCCACCATTCAATGTCAAATAAACAAAATAGTTATAAATCAATCGCAATTTGACTGCACTAGAAACCGAAGCAGGATTGCTTTGCAGTTTTTGCAGTCGACAAAGTTTGCATACAAGTTCTCGGCGCACCTTTCTGCCACCTCAATGAATCTGTGACAACATGAAGCCATTCTTTCAGAACACTTAAAAAAACTAGGCCAAGAAAAGTGTCGAGTTACGGTAACACCCATCCATTATGGCCTAAGTTTGTTCCTTTAATGGAGGCAATACTCCTTCGGTTTCTGAATAGACAGATCTAAAAATTCATTCCAACCAACATTTACTTTGAAATAAAAAGTTGAACAACACGAATTCATCTAGTATTGTCTGAAACAATTCAAAGAAATATGCTCATATTTTCACGGAACCTCTCTAACCACGGCCTTCCAGAAGTGGAAGACACGCCGCGAGAGTGAGGGAATTGTAGTGTGTCGCCGGACACTGTTAGATCAAACTTTGTCAATCACTCGTTGGCAAGTGGGTTTTCGAGACTACCATTAAACCATATACATGAGATGTGTTTACTTTATTTAGTTTAAGGTGATGAAGGATTGGTAGTTGAATTTTTGCGTCAAAATATGAGTGAACCTTGTGTTTCCATTGACTTTCGCATAACCTTGCTTTCCCAAAGGATATTCTCATCCGAACAGGAGTGGACTGCAGTTTCGAGCTCGCCTGAATTGGCCTAGTCATCATTTTGAGCAAGACTCGAAGCATGACTGTGCAGCATATGATCTCGACACGCTAACGACTACACCACAATGTCGCGAGAACCATTGGGTCACAGGGCAAAGGTGAATTTAAAGGGAGACCAGGCATATTTAGATATCACATTCTTTGGTGATATTGTCGATGAAGCAAAATTATATTTGCTATAGCAATTACCTGCGTTACCTATTGTTCGTTTGTAAAGAGATTTTAGAGAAATAGTGTCAACACATATCATATATCTAATTTATTAGTAGTCTCAAAGATCGAACTATAAACGAAAAGTAGGTAACGTAGGTGATTGCTATAGCAAGTATAACTTTGCTTTATCGACAATATTAACAAAGAATGCGATATTGGAAAATGCTTCGTCTCCCTTGAAATGTACATTTGTCCTGTGACCCAAGGGTACTCATGACCTTGTGGTGTACTCGTTAGCGTGTCGAGATCATATGTTGCACAGTCATACTTCGAGTCCCACTGGAGGTGCTGACTAGACCAGTTTAGGTGAGTTCGAAACCGCAGTCCATCCCTGCCTGGATAAGAATACCTTTTGGTGAAGCAAGATTATGTGAAATTTAATGAAAATATAAGGTACGGTCATGTGATTGTGGAAAATTCAACTGCCAATCCTTCAGCATCTTACAGTGAATAAGTTGAACACATCTAATAAACTGTATTAAGTTACTTCATTGACGGTTGAACGATAACAAATTGACAAAATATGTAAAAGAATTAAGAGTCAAAAAAGCTGAAAGCCTTTCATGCTTAGCTTATGTATTTCCATAAATTTACTTTCAAAATCTTCTAGGTTGGTAGAATTAAGAATACTGATTAAATCCAATGTTTTTATTGGGTCATGACAACAAATAATCTCTCTAAAACTGGTCTAGAATCAAGTTTTAACAAAAACAATTTCACTGACCTGTCTTTCTTTCCCATCATGTTCAGGAACCAAGCCTCTTGGCTCTAAATGGTAAAGGTTAGAGGACCTCAATTTATTAGAGCTGTTTTGAAGTGGAGGTATAAAATCGGTACCACTCGCAATAGCCGAGGCCGTTAAAAGCAGCTGTGCCGCCTGTTGTTCATTTGGAATCCTCCCCAGACTACCGACTTGATGGGGATGAACTTTGGTTGCCTAATAATTGCAAAAAATAAATGGCATCATAATACATTTATCCACAAAATCCAAGTTATCTCTTTGAATAGGAAATGAAGCCCTTGAAGTTTATTAAGAATTAGGTCATTTATGTTGACAAAAATACCCTCACACTAGGAACAATAATTTCTATTTTAGAATATGCTTCCATAGTTTTTTGTATAAATAAATTCGTGAGATTTGATGCACTCCACACTCATGCAGATTGAAAATTTTTAGAGGCAAGCTTACAAGGCCTCCTTTAGAAGTTCTGACACTCACCATCTCTGACTATTTATCCAATCTTGTGCTAAATAAAAGAGGGGAATTATGAGATAAAGAGTGATATAATTAGAAAATCAGATAATTAATGTTCAAGATAGATTACTGTACGCTTTCTTTCCGAGTAAAGTGTTTGGTGAAGAGATTTGAAGGTCAACTCCGAAAGACGACGACGGCGGGTTCCTCTTGATCAACTTTGGCTGGGCTTAACTGGAGCATTCTTGTAGAAGCTGTTTCTGAGGTAATCTCCTTCGATTCCGGAGATCGCCTCTGAAACAGCTTCAAAAATAATGCTAAAATAGAGTTAATCTAAAGTTGTTCAAGAGGAATCGGCCGTCGTCTTCTTGAGGGATCGACTTTCTAATCTCCCCACCAAACACTTTCACTCGAAATGGAAGTAAGCTCAACAAGCATAAACCAAAATATTCCTCAAAACCCAACCTTTCTTAGCATAAATCAACATAAGCAAGTACGTTAGAGAGTTTTTGATTCTTTCTTTCTTTTTCTAGAACTATATTAGACTGGAATTGTGTATGTGCTTAGTAAAAAAGGCTTTGAAAAATAAGATTTATTCTAAAAGTAGAATTTTGCACAAAATCGTCAGTCAAAGCTGAGCAGTCCTCGGTAGTCCAACCTGTATGGGCGAACACACTTTTAGAAATTCCAAGCTAAATCTTTTTTCGTCTTAAGATGCAAATTTCATAAG